CGCTGCTGCTGCTGCTGCGACAACGACGACAACAACAACAACAACAACGACGACAACAAGGTACACCCGTACACTGCGTACCCATTACCCCAACAACAACAACAAGTAGTAGTAGTAGTAGTAGTGGTGGTGGTGGTGGTGGTAGTCCTGGGTTCTGGCCTAGCAGACGCGAGTTTTTCTTGTGCTTCGTTGGGCAATGATTTCAGTCTAGTTTTCGGGGCTTGGCTGTTTAGGCCTTATATAGGGTTTGGGGTTTAGGGTGTAAGGGTTCCGGGTTTGGGGTTTAAGGATTCTGTACGGTTCTGGGGTTTAAGTTTTCTGTAGGGTTTGGGTTGGGGTTTAAGGCTGAAGGGTCTGTGGCCTTTGGGGCCTTTGGGGTTTTAACCTAGGTAGAGGCTGTGAGTTTAGCTGTACAGGGGGTTCAGGTTCTAAGGCTTCGGGGCTTTAAAGTGTGTAGGACTTGGCCTGCTTAGATGTCCGAAGTGTATGGGTGCACAGCCGTATGGAGTCCAAACGTCTTGGTGCAGCTGCAGGTATGTCTGTACCTACGTCTACGACTCTGAAACACACACGTCGTCCGGAACTTGGCATAGCTGGGCGTTGGGTGTCCTTGTAACATTATGCCGACGCCTATCGTGTGCTTCAGGTTTTTGGCAATCCTGGATGCCGGTAATCTCTCAGCAGGCCCTCTTGCAGAGGCCGTCATCGGAGATGCGGGCGTACTTGAGCGAGTCTTGCACGGTTTCAGACGATGCCAGGTGCAGTTGCCAAGCCACGTACCATACTCTTTTCATGGAGAGTGGGTCCCCGGCCACCTGAACCGGAAAGCAGTGACAGTTCTTGATTTCAACATTTTCAAGCCTGCTCCTGGTGTTTGTATGTGAGCTGCATGACGATGCACAAAGGTGCAGTGGATGTTCTTCGGCTTGCAAGATCTGAGTGGCCTTCGACATGACCATGGTGATTAGGACAATCCACAGCTGACCAGCATCCACACGGTTGCGCTGAGCCAATGTCCTACCGTCCTGGGCGGCGGACGCGTTCATCGATGCTGGACCAGGTTCTACAGCTCCACGAACCTCGCTGCGCGCAGTCGCGGCCTGCGGGCCTCCCGCCGTGTGTGAACGTAGTACGCGGCGCACCATGGAGGACGGAGTCGAAAAAGCCGTCCTCAATCTGCTGGTCCCGTCTGAAGGAAAGCTGTGCAACGATAACTCTGCTGGGCTGCAGGTCAAGCGGGAAAAGCCCTGCACCTCTCGCTGTGCTCCTGGAGGATTTTTTGCTCGTTATCGTCCCGTCATTTCGGCCCTGGGTTTGGACCATGTGCTTTAGTATGGCGAGGAAGGCGTGTAAAAGCCGAGATCTCAGAGAGCCCTGCATTCGACAGCAGACTGACGTGCCGAGCATACACCAGTTGCTACTAGTAGATCTCATGTGAATGCACAGCAGAATGCGACATGCGGCGACTGTCGGTTCGCACACCTCAGCTTGTCCGACGATAACAGGCCGAACAGCGGAAGCCCTCGCCGACATGCCCAAGGCCCCGGGTTTTCCGTGGATCCGACAGTGGGCAAAGATACCGAGCAGGCAGAGCACCAACAGTCCTGACTCGGGTTCCCGCCCACATGCCGGAACAGACGGGCCAGGCTTGGGCAGCTACAATTGCGTGACGCTTCGTGTCGCTTCGAGCACTGTCTCTCTCGCTCGCAGTGCAACATCTTGCAACACTGCGCCAGGAGCTCCGGCGGAGGTGAATGATGTGCATGAAGGGGAGCTTGAAGAGAATCCAAGGGTCACTCGACCGTCTCGACCCTAGAGCCATGCGTTTCGATGCCATCATAGGGAGGGCTAGGAAGTACTAGTACACAGAATCCGAGTCTACCAAGATCGATTCTACTCTATCGGTCAGACGACATCGTCGAAGTGCAGTGCAGATGGCAGCAAGCGTGCAGTGAACTCCCTGAGAGCAAGTGTTCGCTTGACAGTGGCTGAACAGTCCGTGCAATGCCGCTGTTGAGGTCTCACCGTGAATTGGCGCCGATGCGCTCTCTGCTGCGCTCAGCTTCTGAGGACAAGCGGGGGTGAAGCTGGGTGTTCGAAGCACACCTTCTTGCCTTTCCTGCCAGGATGCCCCGCGCATTCAGAGTCAGAGCCAGGTGCAAATGCCAGGGCTCTGCTGTGCTCGTAGCTTGTTGCCAGCACATAGGATACGTCCTATGCGTGGCAGCAAAGCCGTGTGCTTTGCGGGTTTTGTCGCAGGTAGTTTTCACCGACCAGCCGTTGGCTCGGACCGGACTGCCGAGACTGCATGTGGCTTCGGCAGGGCATCAGCAGATTCTTTCCGCGTTGCCGCGTCGCTATGTTCTCGTGCGGTTGAGGCCCAAAGAAATCGAGATTGAATCTTTCAAGGAGTTGATGTCTGAACTTTGGTATCCGAATGCCGGAGCCTTAGTCACTCAAGGTTTTCTTTATTGATGGAGCTACCTCGCTGTGTCGTGGAGCACTCAAGGATGACACGTGCACCTGCGAGCTGTGCGGGAAGCGGGTTCGGGTTGGCACCGCCCCCAATGCCAAAGAACAGCGGGCGTGCAGGTGATGATAGGGGATGGCTCATGCTGGGAAGCAAGTTGATGTCATCGGTCGCACAGGCATCGAAGCCTGGTACACTTCGACCAGAGAACAGTTCTCCCAATTCACCCAAACAGAGGCACACCATGGTCCTGCTCCGTGCAACGCACGACTGCTACCGTGGACCTTCCATCTTTGCAGGTACTTTGCAAGTCATGTCGTCTGGCACGGAAGTTCGAGGAGGTCGGCGGCTGGTTTCTGGTCGCATGTGCAGCCACGCTCTCAGAGTTTGAGGGCGGGTTTCTTTTGTCTCAGAGAGCATTGCTCGGCCCTGCTCAGTGCCGTGACTCCAACTCAGCCTTGCCCAGCAGCCTGGTGCCCAGAGGGCCCGCTGTGAGCGCCTCCTGAGAAGCGGCTGCCACGCTGAGTCGACCTTGTGAAAACCATCGCCGACCTCCTGGAAATGGGCCTTCAGCTTAGCCTGAGAGACGCCTCTGCTGGCCTCTTGAGCTGCCACCTCGACGTCTGGCCCCGCATCCTCAAAAACCTTCAAAACTCCAAGAACTGCCAAGTGCCAGGTTTCTTCCTTTACGGCTCTGTCACCCCCTACCGCACCACACACACACACACACACACGCGCTTTAGCATGACGGAGTGCAAGCAAACGCTGAGGTCCAGGCCTGCCTGGACGCAGGCTAGACATCCTCACCGATCTCCTTGGTGAAGAGGCACCCTGTAGACATCTAGCAGCCTTCAATCACGGCGGGTTAGCTAGAACACTAGTTTATGTCGGCAAGTGGCTGCAGACCTTTCAGGTCCATGATGCAGAGTCGTGGCAGCAGGTGTTGCTCAAGGCAAAATCATTGTCTGCACGAACTCGTGAATCTTCCGACTCTGCCAGAACTTCCTCGTAATGCTCCTGCTACCCTGTTGCTGCAGCGATTCAACCCTGGAAAAGCCTAAAGTCTGTTGCATGCTTGACGTTGTGGCTGGAGGCTGCTGAGGCAGCGCTACAGCTGTTCCCAGAAGGCCAACAGCTCTCTTCGGTGTCTTCCGACTCTGCCCACCTGCAGAACGCTCTAAGGCGATGAGTCCTCAGCACGCATGCTAAGCAACAGCCTTGGTGCACTGAAGCTGCTCGACCTCTGACCTGCAAGACTTGCTCACCAGTGTGGTCTGGTCCTAGGCAGCCCATCCAGGATGGATGGTGAGGTCGGGGCACAGTCGCAGTAGAGTCGCAACTTCCAGTCGAGAAACTAGCACGTGGGCAGGTGGCGATAGAGGAGTCGCCTTCACCTCCAGCAAGTGAGCCTAGCACCAGGGCAAGCACTTAGATGGTTTATGCATGATGCTGGACATTGCAACGGAATGCAGTGCACTTCAGAAGCACTCAAGAATTCGAATCGACCGTTTGGCCTGAGCTATCACACTCAGCCTGGGCTGCAATTCTTTCACTGCTACTGCTATCAAACCCAACCTACACATACCTGCACGCAGTGTTGACAGCCGCAAGGGTGTGTAGAATTTATTCAGGCGGGTCGGCCAGCACAGGCCCTCGCACCACAGGACTTGTGCAGGTTTTCACTCCGTCGCCTATAATGTGGCACAAAGCGCAGGCAGGTGTGAAGCTGTGAGACCGCCTTCAAGTCTGCCTAGAGCAGCCTCTTCCTAAGCAGATGATGCAATCAGGCACAGCGGCTTTTGTGGCCCACAGTTTCCACAGCTGCTCTGAGCTTCGATTACGTCGATTACCCCATTCTGGCAGAACCGCTTTGGTTCACCGAGGAGCTTCAGGGTGCAAGCTCTTGGCTAATGCCCACAGCGCCGGCTCGGCCTGTGGTTTGGACGCGATGCTCGATGCATTTAAAGGTCAGGGTCGCTTTGCTGAAGACGGCGGCGCGCGGCAGCTTCGCGGTCTCTGGATCTCATGCTCATCGCATATTCGGCTCAGAAGCGTAGCTGAAGCCTGACCGAAGACTGCACATGCAAGCGAAGCGTTGTGATTAGAGGAAGCTGGATCGATGCCGACGGTGGGTTGAGCTCTGCAAGTGGTCTGTGCGGCATCGCAGCCATGCGACCCCCAAGCCCACCGCGGGCATCGCCCGTCAGGAGCAAGCGGACTGCAATCCTAGGGTTTTCGAGTTGTCAAGCGGAAGCCTCTCTGCTGTGACCCCTTCCCATGAAGCGTTTCATGGCTGAGTGCAGCAATAGCTTGACTTCAACAGTTTTGGTCTCGGGTCTGGCCCATGTTCTTACGACGTCCCGGGATAAATAGCATGCGTGCATGCTGCAAATGCTCCGGCTGCGAGGATGGGTTTGCTGGATGAACCAGAAATGCGGCCCAGCTGCACATCGGCAGACGTGACCGGCGTTTGGATACCGTTAATGAAAGATATTCCGCGACGCCCAGGCGTCCGCGCCTCGCCTCCTCTTTAATGAACCGCGAGGCGCTGACTTCCAGGAGCGGGATTCATAGGTGTCTCAGTTTGTCATCAGGATTGTTAGGGTTTCTGTTCGGCAGGACTCGACGAGGATCCATGACCGACCGGTGCCCTGACATGTTTGGACATGCTCAGAAAACAAGAGCTCGTGTGATGTGAGTGATGTGGGCGAGCTGTGCATCATGCCAGGTCACCGCCTCGTCGTGCAGCTTTTCGACGCTTGACCAGAAGGCAAAGTTGACACATTGACATGTCGTTGGTCTGATCTTCGCTTCATCGCAGGAACCTTCTAGATTGAGATAGTCTGTTAGTACTTGTATCTCAGTACAGGGCAACGGCGGGTCCTTATTTGTTCGAGCTCCAGCCCAAACCAGGGACAGCTGCAGAATATGAGATTGGACAGGGCTCTGCAGTCCCAAAGGCACGGCATCTTTAACCACGACTAAGCGACTAATTCTGTGACTTGAGACCGGGACACGCCCCCCGGAATATGGGATTGGTGGATGTTGATCCAATTAAGCGCCTTTTGCGTGTCTCCCTCCATGCATGACACTGCTCCGTTGCAGCAGGGGCTTGGGAGTGGTGCCCGTGCCAGGAACTCCCTCCTTGGGGCTCCTGCCTGGCTCCCAGTCTAAGGGTAGGTCAGCTGAACATCGCGGCCAGCTGAGAGCACCAGAGACCAGAGATGACCAGAGTCGGCTGCAAAGGGTTCCACGAGTTTGGGTCTTCGTCACACCCGCGTCAACGACATCCTGGCGACCTTTGGCGAGGTGCCGCGTGGAGCGTGTGCGCGTGTGTGCATCTAAGCGGGATCTAATCGTACTGCGAGATGCTCGCTTGCGAGCAGCAAAGTGGGATCTAAAGCACCATGCCGCTCGTGTGAGCGACACCCCATGATGTCTTTGACTTGAGTTGTGTGTTCGTGCAGACTTTGCAGCAGCTGTGCCCACAGTTCTAGTGTGTCGTTTGGGCGAGTCATGTGTTGCTTGGCTTAATCAATACTTCTGATGGTTGCGGCAGCCGTATGTAAACTAGCCTTGCCTTGCTGCGACTTCTGCCCTGGGGGGCGCAGGGTGGTTCTTGGCTTCTAGCAGCACAGATACTCTAAGATCTCGCATTGCTCGCAGGTCTCGCACAGGCGGCTAATCCTTGACCCGATGTATCCAGGAGGAGACCATCACCTCGCGCCGCCCTTCGTCCTTGCCTGGCGGCTTAGACAGCCAAGGAGGAGCTCGGATGCCTCTTGAAGAAACAATCACAGGCAGTCTGACATGCAGACAACCTGTGACCTGCAGGAGCTGGCTTTGGCTATTTTCAGGACAGGTTGCTGTCCCTTCTCTCCCATGTGAGACTTTATTTTGGCTTCCAACGCCAATCCCGCCTGATGTTGTGGCGATGATACCTTGCCCAGGACCGTTTGAAGGACCTTGAATCGGCTATGCAGTCGCAGCCCGAGTTCGAGAGATTTTTCAGCAGCTGCTAGGGTTGACGGAGTCGATGCAAAGTTCTTTGCTCGAAGATTCTGAGCATCTTCACTGACGTTTTGCATGCGTTTGTGCATTCGATTCGCTTCAGTGGTCCATCGGGAATGTGGGAAGCAGGCAAGGCGGGGGACGGATACGCCGCGAACTCTTAGAAACAGGGCTGTCGCGAACAAGCACTGCAGTCTAATCCAAAAACAGTTGCAAGAGGAATGGGAATGAAAGAAGACCAGGAAGAATAATAGGAAAGCCAAGCAAAACCGTGGAAGCCGAATGAGAGGCTCCCGACAGCTGTGCGTGATGATATGTTCTCTTTCCGAGCCTAAACAACCAAGACCTCGGCGAAAGTAGGCAACTATTTTTAATCGTGCCTGGCGAATGCAAACTTTAACTTCCGTGCCAGTCCTGAACAGCGGCCTAAGCAGGACCATCCCCGTGTTGCCTGCTCAGGCCTCAACTGCGGAATCGAGCCAAGACAGAGGAGCCGTGACATGGCTGCTGTCATAAAATATGAAGGGCAGGAACTAATATAGAATATAACATAAGCTTGCAGTAGTATAACTATAGTATGATCCAATACTGAATGTCGAGTTTCGCTTTTGAGCACCTCTCCAGGACCTCCGAATCGAACTTGCCGAGCTGGCTCCAGACCGGAAGCTGGATGGCTTGGTGAAAGAAGGCTACATCACGGAGGAACTGGGGCCCAAGCAACTGTGAGTATTTGTGAGGTTTACCCTGGGACTTACACTGCCTTTGTCAGGATTTCTCACGGTTGGTCTACGAGAAGTTTAGAAACGAAGAAGAGCCCGAGCCTTGGAGGTCTCAGCGTCACGATCCTTGAAGTCTGAGTTGGCTGCTTTAGGCCCGTCTTTCTGGAAGACCTGCAGCTGGAGGCTCCTATAAAGATATGTTCCCGTTGCAGCTTTGCTCTGGGTTCTCGCAGTTAAGCTGCTGCATGTGAGTGGCCACTGTCAGAAAACTGGTGGGCTCAACATGGTGAGAGAGCTTGATGCTCTCTTGGCCCAGCCGGAACCTAAGAGCGGGGTGCGGCTGCGTCACTGTGACATGTCCATGCACATCCGCAGGAAATATTTCTGGTTTGTCGTTCTCATCGTGTCTGTGATCTTCAATGTTTGGTACCTCATACATTTGGACTGGCCGATGGCTGAGACATGGTGCAAGTTCGAGACTAGCCCACTTGAGTCATGGAAGCTTACCTAGCCGTCCAGCGAAGCCTCAGGCAAATCTTCACGACTTACTTCAGAGAAGTTTTCCAAACGTGGGACCTGCCCGGAATTGCAGGCGGGCAAGATGGCAAAGTCAGTCGGGAGACGGGGAAGTGCCTTGTGTCTCCAGCTCAGATCGCCTCGCCAACGGCGGCGGCAGCGAATCCAAGTCAGACATTCAGGCAAAGTTTCTCTGGAGCCAGGGGGTTGTATGAATGGATCTGAATTTATTCGAGCTGACTCGTTGGTCGGTGCGTTTGTGCAGGCAGAGCTCTTCGATGACCCGATGTTCAAGGCCTGTGCTATTCATGCGCAACCCATAGCTTTAAGTTCATCATGGCTGCAAGACTTCACACCAGCGTTGGGGATCAAGCATGCATGGGTTCTGGACGTTTTCAACGCACATGCGATGTCAGGGAAGCGTCTTCGGAATGATCTCTGACCACAAGCTGCGTGCTTGGAGGTTGAGGATGAACCAGAACAACATAGAACTACTCAGATGACTATTCGATGATGCTGACAAGATGCATGTGCGTGCAACAACTCTCTCTCGCTCTCTCTCTATCTATCTATCTATCTGTCTGTCTATCTATCTATCTATCTATCCATCTATCTATCTATCTATCTATCTAGCTATCTATCTCTCTCTGCTTGGTTTATCCGAACGTACAGATGCCGTTGTTCCAAAGCGCAAGCCGTTTCCGGGCTGAGGACTCGATTGACAATCGTGACTGCCGCTGTCATGGTCGCAATTTGGGAGGCCGGTTCTAGCGAGCAAGACGTCCGCACTGTCGCATCTGCAAACAAATCTGTCAAGTTCGCTTTTCTGCTTGAGGTTGGCTGGCTGATGGTGCAAGTGGTCGGGACCTGATCTGGGAATATTCTCGTGCTAAGACCTGTAACAACTCATGACTGACATGCAGTGCTTTCCCGGCCACGCGAGGTGTGGGTTGTCTACGTGCTGTACATGGTGTGCTGTGAACAATCGGAGTGCGCACGTTGCGTGTCGGTTCCGATCTTTCAATCTTAAGAGCAGGATTGGAGCAAGACGTCGCATGGGCAGAGATTTGGCAATAAGACGGGCTTCAGTCGTGCGGCTGTGGGAGTCGGAGGTACAAGCGCTACAATGCGATCGGTTACTTTTTCCAAACACTTCTGCCACAGGCCGGCGTCATAGCATGCTTGAGAAGGATGACCTGTCCTGCTAATGAATCACGTCCTTTCAGTTGTTTTGCTGACACCTAGCCAGATATCCGAAGCCACACATGAATCCCTGTAAAGCCTGCCCGAATGATGTTTGCAGCTTTCACAGGCCAGCACGTTCTCTGCTGTCAAGCTAATGGCCCGAGCCGGAACCTCAGGGTTGGGAGTCTGTGAAACGAGCCACGTTTTGTGCACGCAGCAGGTCCATCCATCTTTGATACTCAATGAGTATCACGACTGGGTGACTTCGTGAGCGCCCCGAGTTGAGAGCAGCGTCGGCTCTTTATCGGGTCCGGTGTTAGCAAAGGTTCTCCGAGCGAGGATGGTGCTCGGCTCAGGGCTTTAGGTCGTGCAAATGTGGAGCTGCACGCTCAGCCCGCTGAGCGAGCGAGGTGTGGACACAGAAGGAATACCATCGGCTGGATCATGCAGGAACCTCGAGCTCAATGCAGATGCTCCATGCATGCCATGAGTGCTGGCACTTTTACGCAGTGCGAAGCGGAAGGAACCGAGGGTGGCTCCGATGTAGTTGGCCGTGCGTGTCCACTAACTCAAGATCTGCCATGCAAAGAGGTGCGGCAATACCGCGGGAACCGCTTGGAAAGCCTCGTCGAGCGCATGAGTTGCAAAGAGACGCAATGCCCAGGCTGACCATGTCGCTCGAGCCTCGCAGATCCCGACAGCTCTATCCCGACAGCTTCGGAGCATTCCAGGGCTGGAAGTGAGGTTTACCATCTTCCATGTCCTTTGTGCCACCGCGGCGATCAGCGCTTTCTCCGTCAAGATGCTGGCATTTAGCCCAGATGTTGGCAGCACTCGGCACTATGCGAAAAGGCAGCCTCACCCGGTGGGCAATGTTGATCCGCTCAGGCAGTGAGCTTCAAAGTTGTCAATCCGGACATCTCCTGGTGCGACACTTAACGCCCGGTCAGATGACGTGAAAAGTGATGAGAGGTGCCAACCATGTCTTTGACAGGAAGTAAGAGTCTGCAGTCTTTGGTTAGCTGCGGCGAGTCTCAGGTGGTATCGTCTTTTCAGTATCCTCGCCGATGCCTCAGCCATTATGTCATCTTGTAGAGAAGGTGCCCAATCTTCGGTGGCCTGTTGTGACAGGCAACTTTGAACCAGATCATGGGTGCCGTCTACATCGATCGTGTTTTGCAGGCCCGTGCAGATGTGGGTAGTATGAATTAGAACATAGTAGAACAACAGGTAGATACAGGAGCAGAGCGGGAAGTCATCTTTGCATGAATCACCGAGGGCTTGACTGAGAATTCGGGTCGAAGGAGCGTCGGTCGGACTCTGTAGAGGCAGAAGGCTCTTTTTGAAAGAAGGGGTGAAGGCTAACTGGAGCACGAGTTCCGCCGTCTTGCGAGAAGAGAAAGCCCTCGGGCCCTCGGGGTGGCTTAGGATGAAGAGCGTGCTGCCCGTTGGGCTCACACCCGGGTGCCCATCTGTGCATCACTCTTGGGAGCCAGGATCCGAATGTTTGGGCAAGAAACCCTACAGTCAGTGGCCTTTGATTTTTGTGACTCCGTACATCGCCTGGTGTTGGCTTTCGTTCTGAATTTCGAGATAAAAGCCCCGTTGGACATGTTCCTTCGACACACCGTGCACAGGCCAGAACAGCAACGCTCCGAACGAGCCAACAAGCTTTCAGTAAACCCTGGCCTTTGCATGTCTTCGCTGGTGCAGGACCGGGTTTTCCTGTTCGTCTTCGGTGGTCGCGATGCCACATACGAAGACGACGAGCTGGCGTACAAGAACGTGTCTCTGCTGGTTTTGGAGGGTGCAATCGGGCAAGTCGCTTCACTCATTGCCATTGCCAGCTGCGGCTGTGGCGAGAGGAAGATAAGAATGAAATACTGCCAGGCTTACATGACCCGAATGGTCAGAGAGCCTTCCCCTCAGTTGCAGAACCAGAACAGCTTCTGTCCCATGTTTTGTGGCGCTCAGGATCTGGGTCAAATACTCAGACTCGGGGTCCCAAGCTAAGCTTGCAACCTCGCGCAAGGGGTTTTGGTGTTCCGTTTATCATCTGAGGCTGCCTGAGATGCACCGTTTGCACAGTGCATGACGGCATGAGTGAGGCACTATTTCTCAGCCATCGTCTTGCTTGCGACCTTCGACCACTACGACCTGCAGTGGCTTATGATTGAAGAGACAGAGGTGCTCTTTGGGGTACAGTGGGTTGGCCTTCACAAAACCAAGCTCAAGCTCGTGGTCTTAGTTTCGAATTCGGTTTGCGTATTTCTGCAGCTGTCGGCCTGACGAATCCTGGTTGTAGTCTTTGCGCAGCTCTCCGGCTTAAACATGTCGAGTTCGGTTTGCGATTCGCTCTTCCGGTTAGATCTCAAAAGCTGAGTGAGAACCAGAACATGTCAGCCTGTGCTCGTGAAGACGCGCTTGTCTCCGTAGTTAGTATTTCGTCATCTGGACATGAAGTCTTAGCCGCCTTAGCCTCTTAGCCCAAGCAGTGCTCAAAACAGGGAAGCAAGCTTCACTTCCACGCTTCCTTGTCTCCTGTGCTCCGCTGGGTGTGGGGTGCCTGGAAGGACGACGATGACTACGTGCTGCAACGCCTGGGCCTTGCTCCGCAAAGGACGGTTTCTGCGTCCGCCGCTCAGCCGTCGAGTGGCCGTCACTGTGCAGTTCACTTGGGAACGAAGCACTAAGCCAAGGCCTGCTGACGGGCTGACATCGCGCCCAAAGAAGGCCCGGGTTCGTAGAGCCTGTGTTACACCATGAGCTTCCAAGAGTTCCGTGGCTTCATAGCAGGCAACGTCTGGAATTGATGACACCACGTGGTGGAACAAGTTCTGGACAATGCACGGCCCTAAAAGCTGACAAGTCAGACGAGACGCTCCTTTGTGGGGACTTCCAAGGCTGGGATGCCATACCATCAGCCGAGTGCAGTCCAGCCCAGATCTGGACACCGTCCATGAGGACTTGGATCCTATGTTCTTCTGCACTCTGTCGGCTGGGATGCTTCGCTTCCAGCGCGGTCTTCACGCAGGAATTCCAAGAGTCTCCTGTGCACTCCCTGCATTCAGCCGCATCCCAAGCTTGTAATCTGCCATAGCTCGTGTTTTTTTGAGTGGGACCAAGTTTGTCCACCAAGTTTGCAGTCGTGTAGCTGCACGGCCGGCATGCTCTGGGTGTGACTATCTGCAGCGTGAGCCGCAACGGCAGGATGCTAGCGAATCAACCAGGTTTGCCATGACCGCCACAGAAGGCTTGCCGAGGTCCCTGAAGGAGGATGAACTGGTGTTTCCAGCCTCGCTTGAGCTTAGCAGCCCTTTGGAGCCTGTTTGGTGGCGACTGGAGTTTGGCTTTTGCCTCCCCTGCGCCCGCGGAACCTTCTGCTGACAAATCCTTGCGCAATGGCCGTTCAATGCCGACCCTCGGATTGCAGGTTCCTGAGGGGCCAGACACAGCGATTGCTTGGGCCACGAGTTTCGGTTATAGGATGTTAGACATCTTAGGGAATGAGTCGAGCGCAGGGCAGGCCATTCGTGGGTCAAGTGTTTCTCGATCTCGTTTGTTTCTCTCAGCACGGCTCTCGGAAAATGGTTTTCAGGAGGCCCACCGTGGCATTCGACAAAGTCTCCAGCTGCTGCGGGTGGATTATGTTGACCTCTACATCATGGCCTCGCCTAAGAAGCTTATCGAAACCTGGGATGCCATGGTAGAGATGCGAAAGATGGGCTTGGCCAGGAGTTTAGGAGTCTGTGATTTCGAGCTGCTTCACCTGGAGACATTGAAGTCCCACGGAAGGGAGCTACCAGAGGTCTTGCAACTCGAGATGAATCCCTTCACCTGGCATCAACATCGAACTTTACTCGAATGGTGTCAGCGACATGGTGTTCTGATCCAGGCAGCTCGAGTTTTCGCCTTGCCAGCGGCAAAGGCTTTTCAACAGCTCCGATCTATCCCAGCAGTCAGAGATCATCGTGCAAAGTCTGCAGCTCAGGTGCTGTTGCGATGGGCGATCCAGATGAACTTTCAGGTGATTCCGCGAAGTCGGCGCAAGGATCACATTGTCGAAAATGCCGATGTGTGGTCTTTCAATCTCTCAACCGAAGAGATGCACCAAATTTCAGCCCTGGGGCATGGATCCGCAGAGGGCGGCCGTGAAAATCCTTCGGCCCGTGCCTCCCTTGATTTAGGCGACACTACCCTCGGCAGCAGGTCGAGGGAGCTGTCAAACCCTGCGACGGAACTCTGATGCTGAAAGGGACTGAAAATCTACTTGTCCAGCAAGCAGTTGCGTGAACAGGCTTCGCCTGCGCAAGGCTGTAGAGGGCCTTGGTTTGTCGAAGTGGGCACAAGGCGCCGAAAGATGATGAGGATGTCGAGAGAAACGAGGCTGGGTCCTGGCAGTCCTCAAATCATTTCAGCACATCAATCACGCTTTCGCAGGACTGGCATGAGAAGACTCAGCAGCAGGCCACGCCGGAAGATCGTCCTCGGCGACGATCCATGTCCGAGAACCTGTCGCACAAGGCTCTGGTGGTGGGATTGAGGAATTGGGGGACTTCGGGTTCAGAGCATGTCACCTCCTGACAAGGCCTCGGCGGCCTCGAAGATTACTCCCATCAGCTTGAAGCTGCCATCCTCGGACGCGCTCGGCCCTGTTGCCAGCGAGCGATCGGGACAGGAAAGGCTGCGTTAGGTTCATTAGGCCTTGCCACTGCTGTGGGCATGTTCGCTTTGCTGGACCAGGAGGAAAGCGCTCTTTCAGAAACACCGCACACAAATCGAAACAGCATGATGGACAACCAGGACTTGAGCGTGTGCCTTCCCTCCACCCTTTGTGCCGCGTCTATTGGAACGTTTCGGAAGCTCACCTTGTTTGAGGATTGCATCAGCGAGTCGTCGCAGCCACTGCTCTTCCCGGTTCAGGACCGAAGCGCTTTGAACTTTGAAGGGGAGTCCAAACGTTACAGGGGCCGGCAGATGGGCTGGCAGGGAGCGCAGCATGCGAAGCATGGCCAAATGCCAGCAGGGATGGGGCTTGCTCTTGGTGGTCCAACCCATAGTGAAGGTGTCAGGGATGAGCTGCAGGAAGCTTGGGCGGGACGGGACGAGGACACGGTGGGCAAGGAATGCAAGGATCGTGGGCTGCCAAACAGGCTGGGGTAGTGCCTGCCAGGCAAAATGCGCCGGGCTTCCTCGTCCCGAACGGTCCCCACAGAAGCCCGTGATTTTCGGTATAGCTTCTGCTGAGCTTGACAGTTTGGAGGTAAGGAAAGCATGGTTTCTTCTGTTTTGCAAAGAACTTAAGCCGGACCCTGTTTATACTTCGCGTCATGACTCGACATGGCGATCCGTTTCCTGTTTGGCCAAACAGTGCAGATCTTCCTTGAATTTGGCCGTGTATATGCTAGCAGTAGTCGTTCATAGCGGAATCCTCTTGCATCAAGCCACCATGGTTTCTTGTCTTTGCAGACTGCGGACCGCCAGGGCTTTTCCATTTCCTGGCTGCTCAACCTTGAGAATCCATTACGTACTTGATTCAAGCCTTGATATAACAATTGCCATTTCTACGGGATCGTCAGATTTGCACAGATCTGGACCTACGGGGTCTCTGAAAGAGTCCACATTGATTGAAGGGTGCTCGGCCGCTCAGCTTGGCCACCACTGCGTGGCTCCAGGACCCAGCCGGCTCGGACTTGGCGAGCCGAGAGTCCACTCACAGCGACGTCCTCAAGGAAAACGGCTGCGCACGAAGGAGAAGTTGCGGGTTGCGGCCCAGCCCAGCGGAGCCCTGGGTTCTAAGGTTCGACGGGGATGGCAGCAATTGCCCGTGCATTTCAAAGCAGGTGCAACGTCAGGCTCTTACATAATTGCTCTCCACCGGCGGAACTCTGTTCCGGACTATATCTGACTTAGCCACTCTCCATTGAGGCATTGGGGGATAGCTGGAATGGTTGGACAGAGGGAACCTTCCCGAAACGGCTTGAGCCTGAGAAGTCCGAGAATTTGCTAGACATGCTGGCAGATGCTCGCCGATTTTGTCCCTAAACCTAAGGGTGGTCGACATCGTGTTGAATGTCACTATGTATCCAACTATCCAATCTAGTCTTTTGAATTCCAGGGCTGGCTATCTCGCGTGGGCAGACGGTTGGAGTGACAGTGGAATCCCGATGTCCAGGCAAAGATTTGCTGCATGCCTGTGAAAGCTTTACAGCAACGATTCCTGACTAATCGAAGTGTCGCGAGCAGGTCCGACACTAATGAGCTCGTCGATCTGGATCACCTCTTCACAAGCCATGAGGCCAGCATTGGTTTCCAGCGGTGCAGAAGGTTTGTCCTGGCAGAGTGGTCCCTGTGTCATAATCCTGCTGCCTGCAAGGTGCTACCGGGGCCCCGTGTCAATGGTGATGACATGGTATGAATTTAAAAGCTGTTGTCTTTGCATGCCGCTACAGTTTCAAGTTGCGGTCGTTTACCCAGCATTTAATCAGCATCGAGCGTGGAAGTGGTGTCCGAATATGCATCTGTGAATGTCTGGAGCATGTCTGCTGTTTTCGGGCGTATGGAATTGCAACAGCCGCTTCATAGCCACACTGCGAAGCAGTACGGAATGATACTTACTGACTTACTCGTAGCGATCGCATCATAGCGCCGCCGACATCCTTGACCGCTCTGCAAAACAAGACAGCTGAGCTCTGGCTTCTTCTCTGTGCGGCGCGCAATTCAGAACTCAGGGCTCTCTGCCTGCAGCTTCTAATGAGTCGCTCCAAGCTGCGCAATTCATAGGAAACCCATCTGAAGCCGACACTGTCACACACTAACCTAGCGATGAAGTCATGACAGCCGGAAGCTGCAGCTTCTTAGCAAGACTTATGACTCGATTTGGCTCGTTCCTGACGATCAAGGGTAGGCTCGGATGACGGCAAGCACACGCCCATGCCTCCGACATGGTCTGCCCGACTGTGTCTTGGAGCGAGCCGAGGCTGTGGACAGCAAAGCGGCGACTTGTCCACCGCTTTGCACTATTTTGCACTCTCCTTCCCAAGTCAAAGGCTGTTTCTCTGTGTCTCGCTCTCTTTGGCTTTCGGCGCCTTTCTTTTTCTGTGTCTGCACACCCACGCACAACCCTCCTGCGAGAGCTTTTCCATGCTGCAGTTCAGCATGGTGGATCACCAGTGTGGAACCTTCGAGCAATTTCACTCTCAGTTTTTTCTTGCCAGGATAGGGCTACAGCTGAGGACTTTCTCGACCACCTCCACAATTTCAGCCTTGAGGAGAAGAAGCTAATGGACATGCTGTCTGCGCGCGGAGCTTCTCTGCCCAGCTCGCTGTCAAGCGTGATCACGAAGGACTGGGTCGAAAATCGCGTCAGGCTTCCTCTTGGGTTCGCTGTTCTCATTCCGGATCGCCCAATGAAGAGGGTGTAGAGTTAAGTCAAAGTTGGAGCAGTTGCTTCAGAGCCGAAGCTTGGAGGCAAGACACATGACGCGTGCGGAAGAAGCAGCAGCGTTTGCCTATGTCACGGATCCACACCTCGCCAAAGACATCCACAGGTTCCGGAGCCCAGCAAGGCACGCAGAGCTTGCATGTCATGAGCTGAAAATGCTCTAGGCTGATGCGGGCACAAAGTTGGTCGGCACTTTTCGCGGAGCGCCTGAAGATGCATTTAAAATGTCTTCCCAGAGCATGCTCGTGTCCACTTCATGCCACAGACGAAAGTGACTAAACCGTACCAGGCACGGACACGCCGTCAAGGCACTGGTGGCATATGTACGCAAAATGGAGCAAGCCTATGCCGCCAAAAGAACACTGTATCGGGGCACACGATTGCCCGAATATCATCTGACCGAGAACTATGTGGTGGGGCGCATCATCACCTGGCACTCATTTGCGAGTGTCACCAGCGATCGTCAGCTTGCTGAGTCCTACACACGGCAAGATGACCTCTTCGGTTCCTTCGGGTCCGAGGGTGTGCCCGTTCTCTTTGCGATCCACACGGGTGCCGGTCGCGGAGCGCGGCTTCCAGGGAACTCCGAGCTGCTCCTGGCGCCATTCACGTACTTCGAGGTGGTGTCCGTGGAGCGCGTGGAGCGTCAGAGACTCTGGGCGCCGGCCCGAGAAGCAGCTGAAAACCAGCCAAGAGCGAGCACTGCAGAGCGCTGACAAGTGGTGCTTTTCATGTTCTTTTCAATGGCAGCGTTGATAGTCTTTGGAAGTGGTAGTGGTAGCAAGAAGGGTTTCTCTGGTAATTAGCCACAGGGAAGTGATTGGAGAGCAACCGAAGTGGGTGGGCTTGCATGTTGCGGGTGACATATTACTTATTACAGCAAGGTAGGTAGGATCGGCGCAGCCGTCCATGCAAGGCACATGCAACAAGCAGCTGTCAGGTCATCACGCTGCAGGTGGTGAAATTGCAGCGCTCCTGGGTGGAGACCAGCCCTCACAGACTTGTCCTTCTTCATCCGGGAAGTATGCCGTGGCCGTGGTCAGAAACACCCAAAGAGGCACGTCCTGGCACGGGACTGTGCATCCATATTTCGTCGATTCAGCGTGGCGTTTCAGCATGCAGGTATTGTCGGAGCTGGAGGAGGACGCTGAAGAAGCGATCACACGCAAGTTAGACCCACCAGGCACATTGAATACTTCCGAACTTTTGAGGTGTCCTGCTAGGATCCACATGCCGATACAAGTAGCACTGGCGTGACTTGCACTGCTGTCGTCGAGCCACATCCCCGAGCATTACTCTATGCCTGCTTTGTCGTGACGAAGCAGCAGCTCCTGCTGAGACTTGGTATGATGTCGCAAGATTGCTCAGGTGCATTGCTCCTGGCCACGTTCGTGGCAATGATAAACGGCGTGCTTGTGTTGCTGCAACTTGGCCAACTTGATCACCGCAAGCAGCCTCATGTTGCCTCATGTACTTTTTTGGAGATCAGCAGGAGGGCTTGAAACTGGCAGAAGCTTGTGTCCAAATCCTGAAACGATTGAAACGAGTTTCGGGGTGGTATGGCTGGTGGCTTTTGCTTGCGGCTTGAGGGTAGGACTCTGGCTGCGTGGTGGGAACTCCTTGTGTCCACGGCATATTTGCAAGCGTCGAGGTGTTCCACTGTCGTCAGGATGTCTGCAAGTCTTGCGGCAGTCTTCGAAGGGCAGCTTGCGTATTGGTGTCTTAGAGCTGTTTGCCTTGGCTGCCCCACAGTCATCTTATCAAGTTATCAAGCAGCTAATGCCATCATACTTTCACCTGCAAGCAGGATGTTGCAAGCAGCATCACACTGGGTGATCTCCGCACATACGGGCATGGCAGCAGTATTGAATAACAAGACTGGGAAGGACGCTTCATACCCGAGCAGGTACTACTATCTGTTGCTGCAGTATTTGTTGATCTATTGAACTTGTTACTTTAAGGCCGCGGCTGCAGGCCACCGAAACGATATGGCCTGACCGTTGAAGTTTGGCAGGGACACAAGAAGGACAGCTCTATTTTCGGAAACAGGTGCATGTCCCTTTATTCGCGCATGGGTGACATGAAGCCATGGCACGACCACCCTTGTCTGTGCGCAAGCAAACACAAAGCCGCAGTGTGGTGCTGGACCAAACACTTTCACAACCCTCATTCGCGGTTGTTTCTTGGTTGGGGCCTTGTGGACAAAAGTCACCGGGGGTGGTCGATAAGAACATGAAGCTCAAGGCGGCATCGCAAGAAAGCCTTGCGTCCAAAAGCAGCTGCTAGTCCCCATGCTAGCATGCCATGGCAGGCTGTCGCAGTATCATGCAGAATGGCTCTCAACCAATACCTAGTACCAGGCACAAGAGATGCAACCCGAACCGGACCGACCGAAAGCCGAAGACTCGAACCGGAAGCAGGGATCCTCACAGCAGGTCCTGCAAGGACGCAGTCATCAGCTGTGGTTCGACTTCCTTCTGCTTGATCCTATGGCTAAGGTACTTTGCTGGATTTGATGTAGATGACTTCGCCATCGTATACATGCAGCAGACCTGAGAGCGCCAGTTCCGAAGATGTGTCGAAAGTTTCCTGGAGCACACCTCTTGGTGGAGGTTCCTTGTCTAGAAATTTGCCCAAAGCTATTTGGGGGCGGAAGATGCATGTGTCGAGCATAGGCACTCAGCTCAGAAACTGTGGAGCTGCGTCACAACACAACATGTGGCCACCTACCTGGATATCTTGTTATAGAGTATAGAGGAGGAAGGCACCGTGCAAACAAGAGACAGTTGCTAGAGTCTATCGGTGCCAGAACAACCAGCACACCGACAACGCGAACAAGTTACAAAGTATATGGGCTGACGTGTCCAGTGTCCGGTGATGTCATGCTTCGCGCCGGCCGTTGCAGGTTCGGCCCCTGTGCTGTAAGATGAACGAAACGTTGGCAAGCTGATTAAAGATTCCTCTGCGCAGCGGCTTTTGAGGTCCACGGCCCGTAGTGTGCGGCCAAGACAACTTGCGCGAAGCACCGAAAACCAATGGCTCGGGCTCGTGCAAAGGCGGTGCCGTGGAGTCCTGGGAGCGTGCCCCGAGCCCCGGAGGAGACTGTTGTTGCCTTTACACGGTGCACGAAAGTGCGGACCAAGGCCGTATCCGAATGGCGCCGCAGCGCCCATGCAACAACCTGTGAGGGCATACGGAGGCCACGAAGTGGCCCAGAGAGCTTACACACAGTCCGATCAAAATATAGTCGTGCCTTAAGTTGCAGGAGCCCCGCTTCAAGGCATCGTGCCTGGTCAGGCCACCGCTATGCCAATCTGGAGCGAATAGCAGAAGTGTCGTTGCGTGCGCCTGTCATGTCTGCGGTTGGTACGTCGTAGTCTTGAAATAGTGTGGTTAAGATTCGTTTACATTGCTTTGGGAGTTGCAGGTCGATGGCCTGCAAGCGGAGGCCCGTGGAACCACTTGTCTGCATTGCTCTGCATAGCTCTGCGTAGCCTGAAAGTCTATGTCCATGTCCCTGTGAAAGGTAGCACGGCGGAAGGCTGCAGAGTCTCGTGTGCAGGAACTCGAGGCACCTCAAACCAAGGGAGCATGGCTAGTAGCATGGCCTGTCAATTGCAAAATGCAGCATTACGTACATGCAGCAGGACTAGACTCAAGACAAGATCCGCTGAGAAGACTCTTGTTGAACTCGTGTGAGGCACTCGTGGCTCGTTTGCAGAACCGTGTCGCCGTCCTGGAGGGAAAGCCCAAAGGCTCGCGGGCTGGTGCGCGTCCATAATGAAGCTACAAAGGCGGAGACGCATTTCGCATCCTTGCGTCGATATACTACAAAAGAAGTTGTCAGAAGATGAGCTGGATGATAGAGGCGAGAGTGTCGCTTGGTTTGAATGTCTACTAGGCTGAGGCTCAATAAGTCAAACAAGTGTCTGCAAACCGAAGATCCGAGATGCAAGCGGTGGGACAAGGCGAATACTGTCAAACTCTCGAACGCCTGTACTTTAAACTTTAGGCTGCTAGTCCGAGTCTATACGAGAACCGACACAGCAGCAGCAGCAGTGCCAAACTGTGAAGGCGGGCCTCGGCGTTCCGTCCCAGCGCATGCCTCAACTGCCCTTTTATTGCTTGGACTCTTCATGTACGGAACCGTTCCGTGTTATGCTGACTGTAGACGGTAAGCAGTGCAGCGCCCTGACAAACCTGCATGGATCGCCAAGGCGCGCAAGCAGGGCGTTGATACACAGGCTCGTCTAATATGTATGTGTGTATGCATACAGATGTACATAATAAGTATACATATATATATATATATACACATATTTATATATTTATTTATTTATTGATTTATTGCTATATATATACACATCCACACGTGTCTCTGTGTGTGTGTGTGTGCGTGTGTGTGTGTGTGTGTGCGCGTGTGCGTGTGCGTGTGTGCGTGTGTGTCTGTCTGTCTGTGGGCAGTTCTTTGTCCATCTCCATGTGCATGTGCATTCGTACGTGTCTGCGTTACCTATGTGTATACGATCTGCATGCCTGTGCATATGCACTTCCAACATGACATACATGTATGCATGCATGCGTACATATACGCACGCACGCACACACATACATACATATATACATACATACATAATACATACATACATACATACATACATACATACATACATACATACATACAGATGTAGCCATACTACTGGTGCATCGATCCCTGCATAAGCATGCTTATACCTGTATATTCCATGTGTACATGGGTCGGTGCTTTGTATGCACTCATGTGCATTCGTATGTGCGCTCTGTGTGTGTGTGTGTGTGCGTGCGTTGGTTTGGGTGATTGGGTAGGGATGAAGCTGGCGAAACCCAATTAAGCTCACCTGCAGCGGAGGTATATGCAGAAGATGACGAGGAGGAGGATTCCATAGACACAGCGATCCGAACGTTGCTTCCTTAGACAGCAGACGCATGCTTGCATTGTGCCTAAAGCGTGAGCGCCTGATACGGGACTGACAGACATACCACCGTATATTGAAACGATGGCAGGTATCTGGAGCACAATCCAGACTTTCCTGTGCCGCTTGCTGGCAGCGGGCGGGTTGCTTCCAGCCCGCAGCCGCTGGCACATGACATTCGCTCAGCATCGTGCCGCGAGGTCGATTCAGAAGGTGGCACCGAACTACTATGCGCAACACTGAGTAATGCTCGTGTTCTGCGCATTGCCCGGGCAGAGTGTCGACTCTGGCCATGTATTCGGTGTCAGCAGGCTGTCCGTTGCATGTCGCCATATACCTTTCCAAACCGCTGGCAGAACTGTGGCCTTGAGGTTTTTGGTGATCGAGGCACAGTCGAGCCCACAGATGCAAAGATGCACGTGCATGTTCTTAGTGATGTATCCGCCCGGCATGCCACGTGTTCTCAAAGGTCTACATTCAGCAAAGAGGTGAGCATGTGGTCGTCCGAGTTGGTGGTGGCTACAAATCCTTGCAGGCTTGGCTGTATGAGGATTTAGGTCAGGAAGCTTCAGCAACCTACTGCTCGGTCAGCATGCGGATCATTGTTAGAGTCGCTCGCGTCGCGCGTGTGTTTGAGTGCGCACGCGTGCGAGGTGTTCATGGATGCCAGGGCCCAAGTGGTGAGACCCTGTAGGTAAGGCGAAACGTTCGTTTGCTTCTGGCAGGAGCGGGCTCTTATGGTCACGCGGGACAATGCGTGATCCCAAGGAGTTTGGTAAGCTTGCGTCCTGCGAGTGGCTCGTATGGGGGAGCTGGCCAACCTCCTGCGATGATCCAGCTTTCACATGCTTTCACAGCATGGGTCGCCGTTGCCATTCCGGCTCATTGCAGACGGCGATTCTGCCATGGAGCTGGATGCCGGACAGGTCGCAGCAGTACTAGTTGCCACGTTCATTTTCCTAGCAATCTGGGCGATTTTACAGCCACGTGGTCTTGCAACGCAGATTTGCACATGCTGCTTCGTCCTGTCGTTAGTGTGCACGCAGCTCCTCATGAAGGATCTGGGATCTGGGGATCTGAACTTTAGGTATCCGGCAACGGTCACGAGCTTGCACTTCGTATTCATGTGGCTTACAAGTTGGACTTTCTGGGCCAGCCGGAAGCAGTTTCATCGTTGCAGGCCGAGCTCGGTGGGCTCCCTGAGGCGCTACGCAAAGTTCGTTCTGCCAATTGCTCTTTCTCTGCCACTCTCCATAGCACTGAACAACACATCCCTGCTTTACATGGGAGCCGGACTTGCGGGCATCATCGGAACAATGGCGCCGATCATCACGGCGGTCTTGACCCACTGTCTAGGACGTCGGATCAACAAGACCGGGTGGCTCGGGGTCAGCGTGGCCACTTTTGGAGCTACGTGCATCGGCGCCGGGGAGCTGAGGGATCAAGGAGGACAGGTGAATTCCGTTGCCCTGGGCCTGGTGTTTTGCACCGCCTCGGTGTTTTTGAGGGCGGCCAAGGCAGTTCTGCAAGACCAGCTGCTGGAGCCCACGGCCTACGAGTCCGAGGAGGGAGGGGGAGAGGTGGACCTGGAAGGTCAGGTCCGTCAGGGTCAGGTCCGGAGCCCAAGCCCCAAGCGGGAAGGCAAGGAGGCTTTGCCCGTGTCGCCACCTTCGGCCCTCTCTCCGATGCACGTTTGGGCGCTGCAAGCCCCGCCTTGCACGGCCTGGGCCGTGGTCTACGCCCTTCTGACAGAGAGCCCGAATCAGGCGGTTGCCCACACAACGCCCCCCGTCGCTCGAATGATCTTCCTGACCTGCATCACAGCTACTTTTCTGAATGTGCTGGGTATGACAACCATGAAGCAGCTCGGTGCCAGCTCCATGCAGATCATCGGGAAGCTCAATACCATCATCCTGCTGGCTTTCTCAATGGGCTTCTGGGGTGAGAGGATGCCACAGGTTCCGGGATGTGTGCCAAAACAGTGTGCTCTAGTAAGCATTTTCAAACCTGGGGCATCCAGCTTTATGCGGTTCTGTAGCTGACAAGGAAGTTCTTGTTGGGACATGCTTCGTGCTGGCTGGAGTCGCCGTCTTTGAGCAGAGAGGTGCCTGTCCACGCTGAGCAAAGACTCTAGTTCGGTCTGGACAGCAGTACTACATGGTAGTCTGTAGGCAATTGTAGCTTGCGTGTGGTAGTGGGGCATGGTAGGACTTGTGTCGATGCCCTCTTGTCATGTGAACTCGGACGCAGGGATGAATCAACATGCTTTGATTCGCGAAGCTAAGGCAAGAGGGTATAGCTCCACTGCGAGGAAGAGCCGCCTCCAGCCCCGCCGCTCAGCGATAGTGGGGCCATACACTGCCGGCAAGTGTCGATCGCGCAGGCGACCTTCTCCTTCTGCGTCGCCTTGGTTGTGGTTAGGATCGCCCGGGCCGGATCAGCTCCCTTCGGAACTTCGGGATGAGATAGCAGCACAATCTTGCAGCTGCCACCACACCTGCGTGCGCCTGCGTGTGGGTCGACGAGAGCTCAGAGCTGTAGAGTTGCAAGACTAGGACCATTAGCAACCCTGGAACGCGTTGATGGCAGAGGAGCAGCTGCAAGCGGTGAGCTGACGCCGAGCTTCGGAAAAAGTGAGAGCAGCACAGTAATTGAGGGCTGCTTGTCGAGCCATCTCAGAGAATCTCCGAGGCGGCTGCGGTGCGAAAGCAGCAGGCGGGAGCTCTCGACGCGCAGCATCGCAGCCTCAGATGCCCCGATGTTGCAGGTTGCATTTCGAAGTGGAAGGGGGATGCAAGTCCCCGGCTAGGCTTTGACACTCGGCAGCCCGCTGCTTTGCAGCTTAGTGTCCAAGTTGCTTTGAATGCTTTGACGACTGTCGGGACGAGAAATCTTGGTGAACTAGTGGACTTGCTCTGGCCTCTGGACACTTGGCTCCGAAGCACTGGCCTCGATGCTTGGATCGATTCGGATAGCTGGTGGCAAGGTCCCACCAAAGCTGCAAGAGCCAGCTGTTAGGGTTGGCATGTAGAATGTAGACTTAAGCCGTCAGTCCTCAGCCTTCAAAGTAATTCAGAGGTCAATGCCCCAGCTGCAAAGATGCGGTATTTGCGTCTAGACAGGGATCGTCCTCTCACAGACAGTGTGCGGTACTTGATGAACGCACCTGCTTCCGCAGCCGTTAGTACGGTCTAGAAGCATCATGGATCTCATTCCAGCTGTCACGACTTCAACTGCGACTCTTGCATCAGAATTCAGAGGGACTCGAGAATTCCGCTTACAGCGCCCGTTGGCAAGGACTTCGATAATTAGCGAGAATGTTGAGAGTCAGCCTCGTCAGGCATCTAAGCCAAAGCATGAATTACGAACCCCCTGAGTTACATGGGTGGGTCACTCACCGACAGAAATATGCACCATCTACCCCGACCAGCTACGTGTACATAGCCTTATGTAAACATACATATATGTCATGCAACATTATTCATACATACACGCTTACAAGCAGACGTAATCAGACGTACATACATACGTACATACATACGTACATACAGACATACAAACCAAGAAAGGAGGGTTGGTGGCAGAGCATGATTTAGTTCGGCATCGGCTGTCATGGTACATGTGGATGCCCCTACGCCACTGCGGCAGCTGCTCAGCGATGCGCGCCCCAGCTGGAGTGAGAAAGATCTTGCCGCGGTGGAAGAAAAGCTGTCGCGTGTGGGTGCCACAACGGTTCGCGAGCTGGCCGAGCTGTTGGCCCACGGTTTAAACAAGAGGCTGCATGCCGCTGGGTTGAAGGCCTTTAACAGTGAAACCCTTGCGGCGTTGCGCCATCGTGTAGAGGAGGAAGCACGATCTTGCCACCTCGAAGAAGAGAAGAGTGAGAAGCCTGTGGAGTCTAACGCTGGAGATGCTTCATCTCAGAGGAAGATGACAAGTCCAGACACAGAACACAAGAACTCTCCAACTCCTTTTCAGGCTGACAGCGGGGGCCCAAAGGTGGCACCGACTGCAGAGCCTTCTTCCCAGCCCACGTTCACTAGTTTTTCGCCTTCTACGACTTTTGGCAGAGCCGAAGCTTTGGGCGAAACGCAGCTCATCAAGGCAGTAAGGCAAAGTGACGTCAAGACTGTTCAATATCTGCTTTCTCATCGAGCTGATCCCAACGAGAAGGACAACTTTGGCGAAACAGCTTTGATGGAGGCTGCGGGTCAGGGACAAGCCCACATCTGCCGAATACTGTTGGAGAACGCAGCAAACCCGTCTTGCAAATCACCGAGTGGTCTGAATGCAACACAGCTGGCAGCAGAGCACCAATCCATCGCGAGCCTCTGCTGCATGCGTAAGGGTTCCTGTGCAGCGGCAGTGCAGCAGTCAAGGGCTGGAGAGGATTCTGCGAAGCTGAGGCATTTGTTCGCCTTGCCACCAGACTACTGGTTTGACAGAGGTCTCAGGCTCGCGGCTCGTCAGCATGATGTCCAGAAGGCTGAGCTTCTGCTGCAGCGGGCGAAGGCAGAAGAGGTCGCCCTGAACTTTCAACGGAAAGATGCCAATGGCTCCAATTTGATTCATGTATGTACTTCCAGAGCTCCTGATTCGGAAGATGGCCGCCGGCTTGTCAGACTTTTGCTTTCTGCGCACCTTGTCTGCAGACTCTCTGCTTGCAGCCTCTGACCGCATCCCAACAGATTGTCTGATGACAACTGAGGGCTGCGGCTGTAAACACAACTAACCTGCTCGGCGAGACGCCGCTCATCCTTGCTGCCAGAGCTTCTGCTGATGCCAAAAAGGCATTTAGGATGAGCACCTTTTCATGCATCACAAGTTGACGGGATTCCAGACAGTCCAGAGGGAGCAACTTATGATATGCTTCTTGTTGCAGGCCGGGGCGGAAATTTTCCCTGACTTCCCCCAATGTCGTCACGCTTAAGCCAAAGGCTCTCTGTGCAAGCAGCATGAACCTCGGAGGTGGGCAAGGAACAGATTGCTTCTCCGCTGAGTCTTGCTAAGTACCAGTACTTCGCTCTTGGGTTTGGTGATCAAGACCACGCCAGCTAAGGCATTGTACAGTTCTTGCTGGACTCTGGCGCTGCCGTCAACACTTCTGATGCAGTCCTGCATGAGACGCCGTTGATGGAAGCTGCCGGGATAGGTGCTTTGCATGCATCAAGATGCGCCGCAGTTGCACCGCGGCAGAGGGCGAGGAATCGTTTCAGCTACAGGAGATCCGGACTTGGTGCTCACGCTTCTGAAATCCCGCGCCGAGACTACAAGAAGCAGCGCAAGCGGGCAGACAGCCCTGGATTTCGCCTCTTCCAAAGACGTTCCTTGCAGCTACTAGTATAGGCTCGGAGCTCTTCTTGCTAGCTTATCAGATCCAGCGCTCCTGCTTTATGCATTTCCTTTTTCCTTCCTGGGCAAGAGGCAGACCTGTCAAATAGTTTCTGGTCTTGCAACTCATGGATCTCAGGTAATATGGATGCTGAAAAATCCTGTGGAAGCTCAGCAGTCTCGAGCACACGCCAGTACCGCTCTTAGTGTGGCCGTGAACGCTCGGCTAAGACTGTGAAGCTAGTAAGTTGCAGTGTGACTGTCAGAAGTTTGTGTCAGAAGTGTCGCGGAGGTGCTCAACCAAAAGCTGCTGTGCCGCCTCGACCAAATTATGCGTTTCCACCACAACAGCCAAGCTCTGCACCACCACCGAACACTGCTCGACCGGCTCCCAAGCCCACGCCGAGCGTCTTGGCTTCTTTCTTTGGTAGTTCTGCGCTTTCATTCAATATGCTTACACTGTTGCGTTGGCGATGTGAAAGACAGGTGCCCCGAAGCGCCCCCAAACATACGCAGAACGCCTTCAGACGCTCGGACTACCATGGACAACAGTGAGGACTTCTGATCACGACACATCTCCATCCCCAATCCTTGGCTAAGGAGTCTCTTGTCCAAGTACCCAGGATTCCAAGGCCAGGCGTGTCGCAAGCAACGCAGAAGCTGAAGCCGAGTGTCAAGACACAGTGAGTGCCATAGCGTAGGTTCTGGAGTGGATCTGCCGAGTCATGCCTGGCAATGGTCACCGCAAGAGCTCGAGCTCTTCATCGGTGCCTTAGCCTTTGCGTTTATCAGTGCAGCTTTCCTTTTCGCTATGCTTCACGTAGAGCTTGGCTACACACCCACATGCTACAATGCTACATGTGTCATGAGTCCTTGTATGGGCCTCTGGCATCCGTCGAACCACAGCTGGAATCTTGCCGCATAGGAATATTATGGAACATGCTGTTGCAAAAAAAATGCGTCTAGAATGCCGGTGCGCAGGTAGCATGGGCCAGTTCTGGCCTCCGGGACGCGCCAAGCCGAGTCCAGGCTTGTCTCGCTTCTGCGCACAGACTGGAAGCCCGCATCCTTGTCTTGAAAGGCCCCACTCGTACTTCGGGAAATCGCAGCAAAGGCCGCGTTGATTCAGGATCCCTAATGTGGTGAGTACATACGGCGAGCATCACACAGGACCTCCGCCAGATCCCTGGGAAAGGCCGTCAATGAAACCACTGAGTTCATTGAAGGCATACTACCAGGCGTGACAGATTCAATCCACAGATGTGAGTTGGCTTTTGTTTTCTGTTCGATTCAGGCCCTTGGTGTTCCGGAGGGCACGCGGGACAGGAACGTTCTCAAGAAGGCGTACAGGTGCCTTTCCTACAGTGTGGCATGCCCATGTTCGCAAGTTGACCTTGTTGCACGCTGCCCTGTTCGTAGGCAAGCTGCGTTGAAATGGCACCCGGACAAGAACCCGGACAACCCTCTCGCGGCAAGCAACTTCCAGAAGGTGTGCGTGAATGGCCAATCTGTGTTTCAGCTGCTATCTGAATGACAAGTTGTTTCAGAATTGTGGCGACCGCAGGCATGCGATGCCTTCGAGCAGCTCGTTCGCAAAAGGAAGATTTCCACATCCATGCCGGGCTGTCCATACGGGAGTCGAACTGCGTGCAGCTCGCAATACACGTGTGGCACTTCCGCAGCCGCACACGAATCTCCGCAGCTCTTTTGAGCTCCTCGCGCAGCGAACTCTATGTAGACGCAGCCAGCCACGTCTTCTCGAGCGTCATACCCAACCTACCCATGTCGACTCCAACATGCCCTCCGGAAGATCATCGTCTTCCAATGCAGTCCATTGGAGGCGGCCCCTAGACCCACGTTGTAAGACTGCTCCCGGCGAGCATGAGCGCATGGCAGCTGCGAGGACGAGCCAAATGACGATAAGCGGAGGAGAGAGCAACGCTCCACACAATCCGAACGAATCGGAGGAGGGTCTGATGATAGTAACCGTTACTGTATCCCTTATCTTATATGGTATCTCTTATAATAACCTTTACAGACAATCTAGAAGCCCTTGAAATAATTCAGAAAGGAACGCTCTGGGCGTTTAGGGCAACATCGAGGTTTTGACGCTCTGCACAGCCGAGGCAGCTCTGCAAGGCGCTGGGCCTGGCTTTGTGAGTTCGACGAAATCGAAGCAAAAGCAGAGGCGGATGCTCTATGATTCTATGATGCTCTAAAGGAAACTCTCACAGGATTGCTATAAGGAATACGATAGGGATTAGGGATACATAAGGGTTACTAGAAGGTTAAGAGGCAGCGCGACCAATGCTGCGCAGTGGAATGCCGTGACCAAGCGCGAGAGTGACCGCAGCAGCTTTTCAAAATCAGGGCAAACATGTGGCATGTACCCCCCCACGACACTGAAGTGAGGAGGCTTTTAGTGCATTTGCTTGACAGGAGGTTCGGCAAGACGGATCTAGAGTAAGTGACAGGTGCGCGTATGGACATGCATGAATGCTCGAGATATCTCAAGACTCTAGTCAGTCTCTACAATACCACAACTCCTGACCATGCACCTGAACCATACACGGGCAGAAATAATAAAACAGTATCCGTGGCAGTGGAGCAGCGGTCACGGACAATGGCGGCCGGAGCTGCTGCGATGCGTTCTGCGGCACGGCTTGCACTATTGACTGGACAGGGACTTCTGCGTGCTCTCCCGCCGTCCGTGTGCAGGCTTGCGCTTTGGGGCTTAGGCCTCGGGCCAAGGAGGTTATGTTGTCCCAGGGTTGCTCCTGCTCCTGTGCAAGAATTCAGGCTTGCGCTGCTCGTTTATCCGATGCACGGTCAGATGCACGGTCAGGTGCGGTCTTGACTTCTGCTAAACTAGTAGTTATCTCACAACGGCTGCGAAGTGTTGCAGTTGTTGCAGGGAGTTGGGCTCGGAGGCGCTCCGAGCCCGAACACCTTGTTGCTCCACCCCGAGCCGATCCTTCGTGCTTTTGGTGCCACTTTGAGTTTAGGAAGCTCTGTCGACTAAGGCAAGACCTCCGCACCATGCAATTTCCCAACGCACCTGCGGGTCAACAGCCTGGTGCCTTTCCGGGGCAGGTGCCCAATCGATCAGCTGCTGCTGTCTGCTGTGCTGCCTGTGCACGCAGGCCCAGTTCGGCGCACGCCTGAGAAGATCTTGTTCGGAGTGCGAGACTCTGCGAGACGCGTTCACCGAGGGTTCGGGCAACAAGGGGGCCAGGCCATGCCTGGCATGGCGGCTCCCATGGCACCTGGCGGCTTCGGTGCTTTCGGTGCCGCTCAGCCCAGCCCGGGAGGAGGCGCTTTTGGCTCGGGAGGTGGCCTGCCCGGCGGGGGATTTGGTGGTGGGTTTGGTGGGTTTGGGGCTCCTGGAGCTCCTGCACAACCCCCGCCGCCTCAGCCACAAGGGTTTGGAGGCTTCGGAGGTGGCGGCAATCTGGGTGGGAACCCGGGGATGCTCCAGGGAGGTCTGAATGCAGGGCCTGCATTTGGACAAGGACCAGCAAGTCCTATGGGAGGAGGTTTAGGAGGCTTCGGGCAAGGCCAAGGCATGCCTCCGTCTGGATCTTGGTGGTGTGATCCAACATGGTACATCCAATACGCGCCCCTCCTGCTCAGTGCTTCAATGTGCTCAGGCCCGGAACCTACAGCGCGCCAGGTCTACAACAGGCCGACAGGGAACATCAAACCCCACGCTGTTTCAAGGGATGGTAGTGCCTATACATACTATTCTAGAATTCTCTCTGTGTGTGGGTGTGCCGAGACGTGACTAGACTGACGAACGAGCAAGATGTGCAAGATCTTTGGGGAACCCATGGTGGGCCGAGCCCCATCACGTCGGGCTTCTTAAAGCACAGAGACTACTCCGAATGCATTGCAGCCGGGTTGATCTTTGCCGGGTATAGTGGCTTTGCCACGACAGGGACGGGAACGTGCAACACTTCATGCTGCACCTGGGTCTCAGCTCACAGCCAAATTTGATGTACTGCCCGACTTCGGGCACTTGGTTACCGTATGTGATTCATGTCAAAGCTTTGCTTTCCGGAGGCGAGCGAAGAGAGGACGCGGGTTGCTGCGCACGTCACATCTCACCGCGACAAAAGAGCAGATGCGAGCAGCGTGCTGGAAGGACGCTTGAGGATCTCGCCTGCACTGTTGGCATGCACAGTGCGGTCTGGAGTGCCGTCCAGCTCGCGTTTCCTGATGCTTCCATATTCATGTGAGCCAGCGCCGTTTGCGAGAATGCTGTTCGATGTGCCAGGTGCTACCAAGCGACAGTTCCGACAGATCTTTCAAGACACACTGCGTGTGCCTTGGGCTGTCCGAGTGACGATGGCTGAGATTGTGGCACCTTTCAGCTCCAGCATCGCTATTTCCAGGCCATGGCAGCCTGTAGCAAGAGAAGCGTTGCAGCAAACTTGGATTCCTCCGAGCATAGCATGCAGCATGCAGGATAACGTGTCCGGAAACGCGAGGTCGGCAACGATGGAGTCGGGCCTCCAGATCTTGATGTCAGCAGGTGCCATGGCACCCCAGGCCGCGTTCGAACAAATGCATCGTTCTGCTGTGAGCTGTCCTCAGCAAGCAGAGGCGCCCGATGAGTGTGGTCTCGGAAAGTTGCCAGACTCTTAGACTGATAGGGGGTCCAAGGTCGTTTTCGAGCATTCCCGAGCTTTCCGAGGACGCTTCAACTTTTCTCCTTCTCGGCGGTGGATGAGCCGCAGGCCTTCGTCCACCGTAGCCCGCGAGGGCACCCGCTTCGGATTTGAAGGTCCTACTGCAGCTTTTTGCAGCTTTGGAGCAGCTGGCGTCGCCAGTGCAGTCCTAAGTTGGCCAGATGGCGCACTTCTACTCTTCGACCCTCCTCTTGCACCTTGCCGAGAGAGTCGAAGAGTAGACGCTCCGAGGTGCTCACAATGCTGCTTGACATGCCCTTTGTGCCCATCCTAGCCTTCCGTACAAGACGGCTTTGAGATTCCATGGAGTCGTGTTGCCCGATGCCAAGGCAGGCTTAGCCCAGACTGGATGGCCTATAGTTGCGCTGTGGTGCGCTCAGTTTTTGTGTCTTTCGGGTCGAAGTCTGACGAGCACCAGTCTTACTGCTTGCTTAAGGTTAGCGCAGATTAACTTACGGAAGCAACAGATTGGCGCCATGCACCCAGAGAGTGCGATATTTTGCGTGAGAGAGTCAGTGACCGCATGAAGAACAGGCAGTGAACGATGAGCGCGTTGACGGTGTGGACGACATGGCTGGTCGACAATTCCAGGCGGTCTTCTTTGTGTCTTCTCGGGATGCAACTGTGGCCTGTGAGAAGGGTACCTTGCTGCCAGGTGCTAATTGTGCATCCGATTTGCATGATTTCCATTTAAGCCGAATTCAGTGCTTGGTTGGACCCGCTGGGACAGATACTTTGCTTTTGCCATCGCACGGCGGAGTCATACTTTGGGATTTCCTAGGCGTTAGGATGCTTCAGGAGCCAGAGCTATTGCAGATGTGAACAGATGTTGTTGCTTTGTCATCTCGTGGTCTTAAGTTGAACTCTGTCCTGTGCAACATGGTATACTGTGTCCTTCTCGATGTTGGTTGTGCAGGCAGAGCTTCTTGCAGCTTTAGCCGCCAGAGATGGAGCGGCGCGGACTCCCAGCCTTTTTCTCCTTTAGGGTTCCGAACATGCATCGGAGAGCCGCTCGCAGGCCGCGCAGGATGCTGCCACTCGCTATTTGTCAGCGAACCCCCAGGCTTCTAGTGGCTTCGGCTTGCGCTTGCGACATCTTGCGACTTTTGGCTTTTCGCCGTGGCACTGTAGCCTTTTCGGGACAGGGCCAGAGCGCGTTGGCACCTTTGACTGCGCTGGCGACGCAGGCTGGCCTGCTGTTGCAGGAAGAGGGTAGGGGTGATATGTGGATCCCCTGACTTTAGCAGGCCATGGCGTCACCAGACGCACAGGACCTTGGCATCAAAAGCAGGTTTCACATGGCTTCACGATCTGCGCCGCGAGGAGAGGATGCAGCTGTTGGAGGTGCTGCAGCAGGCGCTGAAGCAGGCTCTGGTCCTGGAAGGTTTGTTTATTTTTATTTATTTTTTATTTTTGGGGGGGCTGCGTCGAAGATCGAAGCTTCGAGGTCATCGGCAGTGGCGCTGAGTTGGACCTCGCATTGAGCACGAGGTGGCCACTGTCCAGCACTCGGCTGACACGTGCCGACACGGCATCTTCTTGTTACTGTTACAGGTAGATATTTGATGGTCAGCTGCCCAGCTGAGGTGGGGCGTCCTCCACGTCGCGCTAGATGCGTTTGCAGTCTAGCCACCCGACTACATCGGTAAAAAAAGGGCCTTGCTTGCCATATGGGCATTGCATCAAAATCGCCTCTCCCGGTCCAGCAGAGCCTCCACCAAATCCTTGCGAAGAGCCTGCGTGGCGGGGGCCACGACATGCAGCAAATGATTCAGCGCCCGAAGAGCCTGCGCGGTCGAGCTGCCAGCACCGCCCTCTTCCGCAGACTCGACACAGAAGCCATTTCTGCTCGTCCCTCGCGTTTGCTATTGACGAACATGCTGCTGGGCCGGCTGGAGATGTCTCGAATGATGCAGATGTGCCTCATCTTGCCACGATTGAAGGCCCGCTCGGGATGCAGGCAGCTCGAGTGTTTTCTGTTCCGATTGTTACTTGATAAAGACCTTTGCCCAAAAAGGCAGATTGTGGCCCAAGCAGGGGACTTACCATTCGACCACGGGTACCGCCTCACAAGTTCCTCGCAGCCCAGCTGGCGATGAGTGCGAGCATGCATTTGACTCAAGTCAAGCATGACACAATTCAATAATCGTTCTGGCATGCTATTCCGTGCCGTGCACGCTTTGGTTGCCGACAGCTCCTGAAATGGTTGCTGAGTATGAAGTTGATTCAGTTTCATTGTTTGGCGTGTACTCCAGCACGACGTTACCGCTATTGCCAACACACCCCAGCCAGGAAGCAACACTAATTGCATCCAAACCAGATTCGTGTGCAAAGCTTTCCGTCACCAGGTTTAGTATGTAACAGCAAGATATGATCAACTTGACTTCCCAACTCACGAGTTGACCGTGTTGAACAGCACCCAGTTCGGCAGCGGTTTAACTTGCCTGCATCGTGGTAAGCTTGCTATGCTACATCCATCGCTGGCTTCCAATATCTCCGCAAAAGGTCGCCCAGTCAAAAATCGAAGTCCGCTTGCAGAAGTGCTTGACCCGAGTGTGCGAAATGTGCAGACTTTCACCCCAGGTGCAGTTGCAAGCCAGCTACCAATACGAGGGAGCTAGCAGCGCTGATGTATTTGGAGGCGCAAGGACACATGCTTTAAGCGGCATGGAATGGCATCCTCACCCCCATCGCCGCGTGCGGCGGCGGCCGACCTCAAGGCCAAACACATCGAAGTGGCAGCGGTCAAAGTTGCTGTGCCCTGGTGGGCATCGGTGCAAACCGTCCATTTCGAGTTACTCGCCGAACCAGGCTGGCATCGACAGCCGATTCAGCCAAAAGTGTGTCGTGCCAAAGTGGCATGTTGCAGACGCGTCTGCATTCCGCCCTACTCGGGCTCCATGCTGCAGCGCTGGGAGTGGACTGCTGCTGGCACTGCCCACAGCGCGGCGCGCTTGCAAGTGATGTGACAAACAGGCGAGAAAGCTTTGGTCGCACACCGCTTTCGTTTTTCAGATCGATGATGGTCGATGCAGGCGCTGGTTGGCAGGCAGATTGCTTGGAGGCGGGCGCAAAAGTTGAACGCATCTTGCGGAAGAAGCTCGCAAAGGGTGCGAGTTTTGCAGGCAGCCGCGCCGGGCGCGCATCAGCTCTGGGATGCTCTGCGTACGTTTGTTGTCGTTCTTGTCGGGCGGCGCAGCCCGGCCTGGGTGTGCGTCCGCTCCTGCCTGGGCATCACCTGCTTTGTGACAGCCCTGTGGTCGAAGGCATGGCAGCGGAGAGCATGCAACCCCGCAGCACCGCTGCCTGGCCCGCATCCCTTGAACGCACAATTGCGTGCCTCCGGCTCCCTCTGCTCTTCGCCGCTGCCTGGTGTCGCGGGAGCGCAGGTCTGCTGTGCTTGCGGAACTGTTGCAGCCAACATCTGAGCTTGTGGCGTCCTGTGGCTTCAATCGGCCTTTGCGGAGAAACGACCGCTGACCGCCGAGCTGCCCTCGGGCAGTTGTGCAGGGCTAAGGCGGCTAAGGCGAAGGCGGCTTGGGCCTGCTTCGAATAGGTGACACAGTGGGTCGCAACGATAAATTAGGGTAGTTCGCAGACACGGAATTGAAACAGGCGCGAACAAAAACTGATTTGATATGGCTCAGGGATGCTCAGGGCCATTGTTTTGTGAAGCGGGTCATAACTTAATACTGCCGTCGCACGTGCCACGCGTTTTACGCAATTTTCGCGGGTCATTCCTTCAATTTCCTTCATGTGCAAATGCGGTGAACGAAACGCCGTGGCGTCCTGAAGGCAGCAGTAAGAGACTGGCCGACAGGACAATTCTGGCTCGACAACCTTGGTTGATCTTGTTTTCTGATCACGCGGGAAACGAGAGTACCAACTGACGACTTACTTCTTTACTTTACTTCGCGTGGCAGGCTGGACGACGCACGGAGCATTGAACACATCCGGTGCTTCTTGTTGGACAAGCCGCAGTGACTGCGTGGCGTGACGACTTTCCCCGTGCCTTGGGCCTATAGAAGCGGCCTAGCGGCGCGCAAGCGGGCGCGAGCCTCGCCGCCAAGCCGCGTGAAACGACACGGTAGTCGCGTCGACTGCGAGGGGACCCGTGCCACGGGGAAGCCGTTCGCGACAGCCTCGATGCGGCGTGCATCGGCGACCGGCACATCAAGATTCATGTCCCAGCCTCCGGGCAGACTCGTGTTACAGTGGGGCAAAGGGAGATAAAGGGAGTAGCAGTAGTACCACCACCACCACCACTACTACAACTAGTACTACTAGTACTACTGGTACTACTACTGCTACTATGACTACTACTACTACTACTACTACTACTACTACTACTACTACTTCCTATTACTTCCTACTACGTACTACTTACTACTTACTACTACTACTACTACTACTACTACTACTACTACAGTACTACTAC